TGTATCGCTGAAGATCCTCGGAGATCCTGCTCTTAGTTTCCTAATCTAGCAGGTGGTATTTCTACAGTATAGTGTAAACACTACATTTTGTGAATGCTGCTTAGTTTACTTCATAAGCTGGGACTGCCATATGATTGAAAAATATATGAATGAAAAGGTGTTTCACCCCTTGTGTTCCAGCAGTTACTAATTATTCCTTTTCTGAAACTACCAAAGGAGGAACCAATGTCAGCCAATAAGAAATGTCCCATTGGAGGATAGGACTCTCAGACACCATCAGGTGTTTGCACTTTCTACGAGTGCACTACGCTCTACAGCCCCCAAAAATATTTCTGGAGCTTGGATCCAACATTAATACCAATGTCCAACGCAAGAGATGGAAATTAAATATAGTATAACGAAATTGAATTGTTTTGAGGGATATATGGTTAGCGTACTGGACTAAAGGTTCGAAGGTCCATGAGTTATGTCTCGTTGCTGCAAAGGACAAACAAAAATCAAACCGCCCTTCATACTTTGGGACAATGGGTCAAATCGAATTATCCGATTAGAGCAGTTCAAGAGTTGGCAGCGGGTACTGTTGGCTATCTGCCTTCCCTCTAGCATAGAAAAGTTAAAAACTAGGTTGTTGTTTGTAGTTAAGCACAAAGCTACACGATGGACTATCTGTGCTCTGTCCACGACAGGTATCGAAACCCGGTTTCTAACGTTGTAAGTTCGCAAACATACCACTGTGCCACTGGGGGGCTCAAAATTAGAAGAGGCTAGCGCAGATAGCCCTTGTGCAGTTTTTCTAGGATACCCAAACAAACCAAACTTATTTATTTATTGTACAAATATGAAACTTTATGTTAATGAGACTTTGAGATACATAGCCATCATTCGCGGAACTTAGTATTTCGAACTGACATTAATGATGAATATTTTTATAACACTATTTTTTTATAAATCGTTTATTTTTTATCTAAAGTGTTGTGCGTGTACCATAAATTAAACAATATTGTCCAAACCTACAACAGTGCAAGCTAAAACTACACGAAATGCGAGTCTTTCAATATTTGAATCTATACGATGCACATGGAAATCGTGGAAATTGCAGAAAAGCTTGTGCAACCTGATTTTGATATTTCATATGTGAACACGTTTTAACAGTTGAAGCCACATGATTATACTAATCACTTTAAAGCGCGTGTATTTGGAAAGGGTGAAGCTCTAGATAGGCTGTTTTATGATATTTGAAGTTACAATTACATTAAGTGCGATGGACCCTTGGCAGTTAATGGTACACTAAACTAATCATGACAAACTTCGACATTTAAACAAGATAGAATTGAGATTAAAGTTAGAGTAATTACAATAAAGTGAATTACACGTAAGTGTACTTTTCTCGGGTATGTAACATTGAACAAGATATATTACATACTAGCGTTTAGTTCGTTAAAAATGACAGAGCAAGTACTACCACCCCCACCCCATAGTATATACACCCTAACCTCACATTTCATAGCAAACTGAAATAAATACATTTTGCGAAATCAAGCTTGACCAACAAAGAGGTAGTCAAACGTCGGTAAATTCCTTTGTGAGCCAATCAAAATTAAGATCATTCATG